GCGTTCTGTGACTCCCCTTTAGATAAATGTATTAAACACTCCCATCTCTCTTCGCTGAGAGTTGTCGGTTGAGCTTATAGAGTTAAATTCTGACACCGTGAACCGAAAAGATTAAAAAGCTGATATTTTGATATTTAGCTTTTTTCAGTAAAATTTTTTGTCGTGAAGAACTACCGTCCTAGTCAAGGAAAATTTACCGTCTTACCTTAATTCGGATTAAAAAAAGGTCACTCTGAGTGAGAATGAAATCGGCATGGCATAGAAAGCTTTCTCTAAGACTACAATATGTACCCTGTTCAGTAAAGTTAGTAGACTCCGAGTGGGTATAATTAATAGCCGAGCACGCGTAGCTTTTCAGCATGGACTAGCTCATGGTATATTCTCGGTATTAAGGTTGTTCGTCTTTTTAAAATAAAGATCAGTCGGCCAGTCGTACTTTCAGTTTTTAGTGATCAAGATATTTTTTATCGTTGGGTCCCGTGTTAAGCGAAAGGTCCCAGAAGGAAGTTCTTTTAATATGCTCTGGTTTTTCGAACCTTTCATGATTCAGGGCTTGATTTGGCTCTTCTAGTTCTAGGCAAAACAAGTACCACAAATTGTCCTTACACCGTGAGTCAGGAGTCCATAACCCGGAGCGAACAAGGCCCCCATACTAAACAGTATGCCAATGCGTTTTCACGGACTGGCCTATTTTTAGATATATACATCTTTAATAGTGCACTTTTTCTCGCGGAAATGAAAGCTCCACTGCGTCTATGAGCGCCTTCGAAGCATAATATATGAAAAACGAAAAGCAAAGGTCACTAAAAGGTAAACGATACCATTTTCGGGTCCGTAGTTTTTGCGGACTTGATGCAGGAGAAATTAAAGATATTCTGAATTCGTGCCAAAATCGTGGTCAGTGAAAACGCCGTGACGCAAATACGTGGAAGTTGCTCTCTCTAGGATATAGGCTCCTGCATGAGTTCATATTTCCACAAATAAACGTTTCGAAGAGTGTGAATGTTTCGCGTACAAATGCTGTAGAAATTTTACAATAACTTATGAATAAAAGACTTCTTACAGCAATGTACAGAAGACTTTCCGAACAAAACCAATTACTCGTGGAGTTCATTGCCACCTTTTCGTCCATTTTTCGGAATAAAGCGAAGGTAAGCAAAACTTTTGAGGAATAAAGCAGGCAAGGAAAATAGAGATGGAAACCTTTTTTCAATCGGTGGTTCGATTCAAAGTATATCTTGCATTTAGGTCAAACCTTTGTTGGATCGAAAACCCCTCTGTTTGTACATTTCACAAAAAAATATCTTCAGCTTACGATTAATTATCGTTTCAGACGTTCATTTTTTGGAATGACTGGATAGAAGTCCGATGAAAACTAATGTGTAAAACGCACATGGTCTGGGGAGAGACCTCACGCGTCTATTTTTCGCTCGGCGGCCCCGCACGTCTTGTTTACGCATTGTTTACGAGACCTTCCGACTATCTGAGAGCCTGAAACGGGCTACCCAAATCGGTTGTCGCTATCTTAAACCACCTAGATAAAGGCCGGCGCGAGATAACAGCAAACCATACAGATCTAGTTCACAGAAAAAGTCTTGAGTGTCTGGTGTTCTTTTCGGCAAACAAAATTAATATTATAATTAGCTTTCAGGAAATTCGATCTTTTGAAAAGTATATTTCCTTCTGAATATTCTAATATTCTATATGTGAAATACCTTTATGATTTTGGACGAAACAAAAGTCAAGACCAGTTATCAAAACAAGGATCACGTTTTTTCGCTCATCTTTCCTGGCTTTTTGCTTGACATGTCACTTGCCAATATTTGACAATCGTATGGTTGAAATTATCGAAGTAAATAGAAGCAAGACAATCAAAATTTGATTTTAATTTGCGTTAGCAAGGTTTAAAAAAAGAGTATCTTAATTTTGACTCTGTTGACCGGAAAATCAAAACTATACATGTTGTTATTTTTTTTGTCGAACCAGGTTAAAAGCCAAAAGATGCTGTTTCTTTCAACCTGAGTTGTATTCCATATAGGGCTTGTACAAAAAGGTGTGATAATTCTATTATCTCACAGTCAAACACACAAAAAAGAAAACACTTCGAAAATTGTCCAAAATGGGAATCAAGAATAATATTTTTTATTAGATAAATCCTAATTGCCGGAATTTTTCACTGATAGCTTAATTTTTATGTGACAAATATAAAAATACCCCATGTCCAAAGACAGCTGTGAAAATACGGCTTTTTTTAAATAAGTTGTGAAGTGAAATGTTCTTCATGTATTTCACCTATTTCTGTACTGACGGTTAATATATTGCTGTAAGTTAGCAAAAGTGAACAAATGATTTCCGTTGTTATTACCAATTGTCAGAGATCACGCCCTGAGTTTCTTAGAGTAAAAATTGTGACTTGAGTGTATTATAATCATCAGTGGCATTTACATGCGAATTTAATAGATATTGTTTTGGGTTGCGACTTTTTTTTTTGCCCTATTTATTTGCACACCTGATTAACTGGGAATAGTTATCTTTTCTTCATTTCATCTCGGATACACTGTGTTTAATGAAGCCTATTTTGGTGAGTGAAATACAATCGTTTAGAGCAACCAAAATAACAGACGATGGCCTCCCTTTTTAAAACGTGGATTTACTACTTGTAAAAAGTTTTAGTCATACGGCTTTCAATTACCCCATACTTGAACATTATTCTTGTCATTTATTCAGCTGCATTCTAAAAATCCATCAAGTCTCCTAATCATCAGCGAAACAACTCTGAGTTCATTATACTCTTAACAAATCACAAGGTCACTGTCCCTGTCCTAATTCGTGCCCCAAATCACCTTGAAGATGAAAGGTGTTTTTGCAGTTGTGGTATTCATTCTAGTAATGGGCCTCTTTACATTTGCGCAAAGTAACCTAGAACGTGCAAAAAGAGAACTCAAAAGGCTACGAGATGAGCTAGCCGATGCAAACAAAAAGAGCGACATTTTGTTCCTGCTGGACGCCTCCGGTAGTTTGTCGTCCAATGAGTTTCAAACTGAAAAGGGATTCGTCATGAACTTTTTGAACACTATAACTGTTAGCGTGGATGCTACCCGAATAGAAGTCATACCTTTTGCCAACACAGCGAGCCGATACATAGACGGAGTTTCCTTTCCCTCCTTGGACAAGCACAAGTGCCAGCTGGTTGAAAAGTTCAATTCTATGCCTCAAAGCATCAATGATGTCGACAGGAATACGTATGAAGCCTTTAAACTGGCCTTCGATGTCTGCCTTGGACAATTAAGCGCTATGAAAAGGGGTCCCTTGTCTCTAGTGAGAACTGTCGTTATTCTCGTCACAGTTGGACCTTGGCAAGGCCAGAGCCCTGTTTCCATTGCCAAGAATCTACAACAGGCTAATATTGAGGTATTTGTGATTGGCGTCGGAAACAGCCTTCTCGAGAACAACTTACAAAAGATGGTTAATAATGCAGACAAACAAGCCTTTTACTTCAGAACCTTTCAGGAGTTTGCTGAACTGTCGGTTTATCTTAGAGGAGGTGAGTGAACGGAAGCTTTCATTTTTACAATTTTTTTTGCATATTTGGTTGTAAAAAGTAATACAACAACAAGCTTTATTTGTAGGACCATACAAGTACATACAGAATTTCTAAAGCTATTTATAATTATGTTGTAAGAATAAGAACCAAAAATTAATCAGCAGACAATTTAACTTCTTTGTTAATAAATCGTCGCGAAATAATGGAAAATAATAAAATTGATAATAATGATAATAATAATAATAATGATTAAAATTGTAACAAATATATTAATAATAATAATAATAATAATAATAATAATAATAATAATAATCTGACACCCGAATTAAGTTAGTTCGACGGCGATTTAAAGTTACGAGCCCGATTACTCAGAATTTCTGTCGCATTACTGTCGCTCATGCGATAATGATCATAGGTCTGTAATGGAATATCTAGCAAAGTATACGTACAAAGTTACATTATCACCAGACGGCAATCAATATTAAACTGTCCACTGTACCACAGTTAGAGAGTGACTATAGCTATAATCATAAATTATTTTGTTCCATTTTTTTTAAGACCCGTTTGGTACAACATCGCAAAACGTAGACGCTAATAAATGTAACAACAATTGCGACCCAGTTGCAAGCTGTGTTTGTCATTTAACGTACGCGTCTTACGAGTGCTTGTGTGCAAAAGGATATGGAGGATCGGGAACCGTGGGACAATGTAATGGTAAGTTTCAAAGGAACTGTTGCTATTAAACCAAGGGCCTCTTGACATGGAGCTTGGGAACCACAGGCAGATCAGGTAACCTACGTAGGTTGGGTAATCTCTCACACAGTCACCCCACCTATCATGTAAACTTGATCAAATCAGAATGAAAGGTTATATGGACAGGTGGGTTACCCCACTTCAGCGGTTACCTAGCCCACCCGGGGTCCCCCACCCCCATGTAAACAGGCCCTAATACAGATCGATAGGTCAGATTTTTCAACAGAAGAATCCCTTACCGCTTCGCTGAGTGAGTGTTAAAGAAAACAAAACAACAACAACAACAAAAACAAAACGGATTAATTAGATAGGTTAGATTTTTCACCAGGAGAAACTCTTACTCCGCTGAGTGAGTGTTCAAGGAAACAAAAACAAACAAAACAGCTTATAACTCATTGTCTTCGGAACGTGAACGTTTCGACCAATATGAATTTATATTGGAGCAGTTCATTTGGCTCTTTACTTCAACAATAAAATAAATGGAAAACAGGTATGGAAAAGACGTGTGACTGAGCATAACTGACAAGGATATTTTAGGCCGTTTTCATGTGGAATAATGGGTTTAAAAATTCAACGGCCAACAAAAGAATAGACAAAGGATGCCCAAACTCTGAAGGTAGCGTCCCACGCAGACGTTCTTAGGGCTTGAGATGTCTCCTTTCAATCTTTATCATTTGCGTTCCTTTCCTGTGAAACTGCAGCATGTCCCCATAATACGTACAACGATGGCTCTACAATTTACTGTCAACCCTGCCCAGCAAACTCAGGCCATAGTCTCACTGGAAGCAGGAGTGTATCTGATTGTAAGTGTTTCAAAGGATATCAAGGCCGTCCAGAGATTGGTAACCCCTGTACAGGTGAGAAAGACCCTTTTTTCGCCTCATCCACACGTTATTTTTCGGATGTTTTTGAAAACGGAAGTTTTTTATCCGTCTCAATTAGCCTTCTGTCCATATGTAAACGGCGTTTTCCGCCACCAGAAACGCTGGTTTTCATATACGATCCCCAGGGAGGAGATTTTTGAAAACGCCGGCTTCTCGGTTTTTCTCTCTAGCTTTGGACGGACGAAAACCGTCATACATCATATACTACTAGCATAACGCATACTCTTAAGGTGACTTGACCCAGTTTTTTTGGGGGGGTACCATCCTACTTTGAAGCTCTCTGGTATCCCCACCTTTACTTTTATCGTAAGTCTAACACATAGAATGGATAACATATAGATCGATCTACAATATAACAAAATTTTTGGCGATCGGAGTAAATGTCACGTGGTTATAATGCCACGCCCCTTTGAGGTCTGAGTCGAAAATCGGCTGTTGCCGGCATTTTTTTGTGAAAATCTCTCGGCTACACGTAGTGCGCGTTAGTGCCTTGCGCTGAACACAGTTTCACCAAAATCGCAAAGACCCAATTCGAGAAATTCAGTGGTTTCCAAAATTAGGTCATAATTTATGCGAAAATGATAAGCAAACTTTACACGGATTATATATAATAAACTATGAGATTCATCTCTTTATTTTGGGCATCGTTATAACAGATGGGTCCTTGCAAGTCAGCAAAACGCTTTAGGGCCTTGTAAATGCGCGCGATTTCGAGCAAAGCAAACATATAGAAATTATAGTTTTCGCTATTTGTTGACGTTTGTCAGCGTTTAAGAGTCCTTCTCACGAAAAAAGCATTTTCTTAAAAATTCGTAGTTTTTTTTCCTTCAAATTTTTTCGGGGCCACAAATGATTAACTAACTACCCGGACTCTGAATTTCATGGTCATTGAAAAACTGTGACATTATCTTCTATAAGCTCAAATTTGAGTAAACATTGAAGATTTTTAGCGTTTTGGCTGAGTTTGTGCTTTGGGAGTTGTCTATTGTTTCTAGTCTGTCATTATACAGCATTCTTGTTCATCACGCGTGCAATGACCGCGCTTGGCTGACTTCCGAATGCTCACCGAGATATTATAATTTTGGTACAGTGAGACAGGCCATCGCGTGATACATAGAGGTTTAACTAACAATTTTTAATCAATTCTCGTGCTTCTTGTGTCTTTGCAAAAAAATCAAGAAGTGCTACACACTAAGTCTACTTACTATTACAAAAATACCATTTTTTCATAGGTTTAATGCAAGCCAATAATTAAACCAACTCGTGACGGGAATATCTCGGTGAGCATTCGGAAGTCAGCCAAGCGTGGTCATTGCACGTGTGCTGAACAAGAATGCTGTATAATGACAGACTAGAAACAATAGACAACTCCCAAAGCACAAACTCAGCCAAAACGCTAAAAATCTACAATGTTTACTCAAGTTTGAGCTCATAGAAGATAATGTCACAGTTTTTCAATGACCATGAAATTCAGAGTCCGGGTAGTTAGTTAATCAATTGTGGCCCTGAAAAAATTTGAAGGAAAAAAGACGACCACGAATTTTTAAGAAAATGCTTTTTTCGTGAGAAGGACTCTTAAACGCTGACAAACGTCAACAAATAGCGAAAACTATAATTTCTATATGTTTGCTTTGCTCGAAATCGCGCGCATTTACAAGGCCCTAAAGCGTTTTGCTGACTTGCAAGGACCCATCTGTTATAACGATGCCCAAAATAAAGGGATGAATCTCTTGGTTTATTAGATGTAATCCGTGTAAAGTTTGCTTATCATTTTCGCATAAATTATGACCTAAATTTGGAAACTACTGAATTTCTCGAATTGGGTCTTTGCGATTTTGGTGAAACTGTGTTCAGCGCAAGGCACTAATGCGCACTATGTGTAGCCGAGAGATTTTCACAAAAAAATGCCGGCAACAGCCGCTTTTCGACTCAGACCTCAAAGGGGCGTGGCATTATAGCCACGTGACATTTACTCCGATCGCCAAAAAATTTGTTAGATTGTAGATTGACCTATATGTTATCCATTCTATGTGTTAGACTTACGATAAAGGTAAAGGTGGGGATACCAGAGAGCTTCAAAGTAGGATGGTACCCCCCAAAAAAAACTGGGTCAAGTCACCTTAAAGGGATGCTATCGTAAATTCGTAGTTTTGGCGTTTTCATGAGGACAAGCGAAAAAGTTAGATATACTGAGCCTACGTGTGGACGCGTTTTTCTTATTGACGACATAGAAAAAAATCTTCGTTTTGAAAAATTTTCGGATCTGTGTGGACCGAGCGGCTTAGTTTTCTATTTAAAGTTAACTAAGTAATTATTGTTTACTTGCGCCAATTTATAAGGGACGGACCATTAGAAAACTTATGGGGGGGGGGCGAAGTACAAAAAAAAAATTCGCGCAAGGGAAAATTAAATGAAAAAAAATTCTTGCAAGCCAATTAACCCTAAGAAATATTCATGCAAGGGCCTGAAAAAAATTCATACAAGGAATTTGATAACGAAAAAAAATTCCTGCAGCTCGAAAATTCCCCTCCCCCCCAATAACTTTTCTAATGGTCCGTCCCTAAGTAATATTTGTTGGATGTAATTGTGATAAGAATAAATGACACGTTTAACATAAACATTTGATTAAGAACTGTTTATTTTACGATAGTCGTTTACTTAAGTTTATTAGAGTGAGGCCTAAGCAAATGTTAATTTATCACTAATGATTGATTTATATTGACTCCAATAACACGATCATAAAAAAAGCTTTATTCCTTAGTGTGATTTTCTGCACATTGTTCGTTCGGACTGGTCCCTATTACTGGGACGATTGTTGAAAGAGTAGCGGCACCTATAACTGAGCTCGCTGGACATGAACTTTAAAACTCGGCTACAGAATTATCATATTAGGGACTAAAGCGGAATACAATCAATACAGTCACACGTGTTACTGCCTTGATCTGGGTAGTGTTTGTACCGTGTCTCATAGGGACAAAACACTTCCCAAAATCCAAAACACGTCCCAGAATCCAAAAACACGTCCCAGAATCCAAAACACGTCCCAGAATCTAAAAGTGTTGTGGGAAAAAAATGGGTTTTTGGATGTGTTTTTGGTTTTTGGGGACGTGTTTTGGATCATTAGAAGGGTTTTTGGATTCTCGGATCGAAGTGTTTGGGATTCTGGAAGTGTTTTTGGATTCTGGGACGTGTTTTGGACCCAGGGAAGTGTTTTTGGATTCTGGAAAGTATTTTGGATTCTGGGATGTGTTTTGGACCCTGGGACGTGTTTTAGATTCTGGGAAGTGTTTTTTGATTCTGGGACGTGTTTTGTCCCTACGAGCCACCGTATGTTTGTGATTGTTTGAAGAAAATATTTTTCGCGGCATGATCTGTCAGAAGTACTACCTAGCTCTTGGTGGCAAGACATCAGTATGGAATTCCTGCGCTCGTTCCTCATAGATCATTTCGCGGGGAAACCATGTGGTGGCGTCGGCTGCATTCTCAGTCTAGCAGCGCCCACTGATTCAAGTTAATGGGTTTCTATTTTTTTTCTTGAGTATAGTTAGATCATGTGACAAGTTGAACCCCCCAAGCAACGGCGCTTTTATTGGTGTCTGCAACTCGAAATACAACTCAGTTTGTCGAATCAAATGCAATGAAGGCTATGAAGTATCAGGCAGTGCAGAGAGGAAGTGCATCGTGGCCGCTGGACCTAACATCATTTTTTGGTCTGGATCCCCATTCCAATGCCAAGGTGAGATAAAAACCTCGACCTAAATTTGTACATCACTGCCATTATTGGTGTAAAAGTGTTGGCAGTCGGTCTTTTTTTATCTTTTTATCAACCTGAAAAGTTCTATTTACTCTGCAAGACTGCCATTCATTTTGAATAAGAGCCTAACCGCCTACAAGAGAGCGTAAAAGGACCAGAGGGTTAGTCTTCCAATCCCCAACGTAATACCTCTTAAGTTATTTTTAGGCTGTGTCGATTTTCCCGCGGGTAATGTTATCTCGAAAAGAAAAAAAGAAGCAAGAGGCATCAGTTCACCTTTAGAGGGAGGGGCAAAATGATTAAGAAAACATGTCCCAGTGAACGCAATTTATGCAATTGCGTAAAGAAGCCTGAAAAAAAAATTCAGGACTTCAACGGGGTTTGAACCCGTGACTTCGCGATACCGGTGCGATGCTCTACCAACTGAGCTATGAAGCCACTGACGTTGGGAGCAGGTCAATTGTGGGTTCATATGTTCCCCTGAAGGAAATGAGTTTAATGATATATGAAATAAATCATATATGAACTGCGGAAATGAAATAAATTGACCTGCTCCCAACGTCAGTGGCTTCATAGCTCAGTTGGTAGAGCATCGCACCGGTATCGCCAGGTCACGGGTTCAAACCCTGTTGAAGTCGTGAATTTTTTTCAGGCTTCTTTACGCAATTGCATAAACTGCGTTCACTGGGACATGTTTTCTTAATCATTTTGCCCCTCCCTCTAAAGGTGAACTGATGTCTCTTGCTTCTTTTTTTCTTTTTTGCTTAAAGTTGCATGTTATTAATTTAGATTTCATTGCTTTTATCATAAGTATAGAAACAGAGGATTCGCTTTTAGCCCTGGCTAAATCTATATATTTTAAAGTTTTTTCATTGAGCAGTCGAATTTGTTTCAACATAAAAACGCGGTGTCAAAGCGAAACAAGTTTAGACTTCTTTCGTGGGGGAGGAACCGTCTCTGAGGGTGACAAAATTCAAGTTTTGTGTGCACATAACACCGTAAAGAAAGCCAAATTGTTTCCATTGCTTTTTCATAGATCGTACTGGCCGAGTGAAATTAGAGACGATTCAAAGACGGGGAAGATTACGAGTAAGAGGTTTTCTCAATGCTAAGTACGGCCGTGAGTAGTGCTCGGTTGTAAACCATCGTCATTTTGGCGAGAAAACGTGGTAGCCGTCGTCATTCTACTACAAGTTCTAGCGACAAACATTGTATTAAATAACGGAAACAGGTTATCGGGAGTTGTATCATTTTGTGATCGGAGAGGGCTTAACCTTCTCCAATAAAGATAACAGTGGTAAATTTTCTGGTGAAAAAACAAAAGTACAATATATGAAGCATTCCGGGTTGTCTATTTTTGGAATAACTTTGAATCAAATCTTGTACTCGTAGTCGTTCTTGTCCTCGAATCTAAAGGTCTCTAGTTTCATGGCTTTGATTTTAAGGGGAAAAAGCGAAGACCGATGGAGTATCTGAACAGCTAAGTGCCACAAAGAGCTAAACCACGAGATAGGTGATGACAAACGTTTATAAACATGTTGAGATTCCAGGTGACCGCTTTTACTAACCTACTCGTCCTTCGAGGTGCTTGCATATTCAGACTAGCTGTATTTTATATACCAGCCTACTTTTGTCTGGTTTTACGGAAGACTCCTGAAAGCAATCTCCTTTCAGACATAACGATATATTTAAGATTTTTCATAAATACTGAAATTTTTATGCATTTATAAAATAGATTGATTTTATATATATATGTTAAAAGACTTCTCTTCTTTTTTTTTTTCTCGAAGATATTAGCCTTTCAGGCTACTTTGAAATTCGAGTATAAATAAAGGTCATGTTATGCTATGCATGTTAATTAACCATGGCCAATAAATGATGATGATAATGATGATGATGATGATGATGATGATCATAATGACACTAAATATTATAATGATGACATTTTTACTTCTAGCTATTAGATGTCCTCCGCTTTTCGTGCGTGACGCCGATCCACCTACTGGTATATGCTCAAACCCTGAATTATCCTACCACTCCTACTGTTCCTTCAAATGCAGATTTGGATATCGGCAGAAAGGCTCCGAGGTGCGTGTTTGTCAACTCAACAAGACTTGGTCTGGGACTTCAACAACATGTGAAGGTACACGACGTATTACTCTGCTATAAATCGGTAATTGTCAAAAACGCTCTGGCTGTACGTTCATTGTAGCTATTCAGCCGCGGATCTACAATAAATACTGACCGATTTCCTACTTTTAGGGAGGTCTGGCGGCATGCTCCCCCGGGAAGTTTTTTGGATTTTAACTCCTCAGAATCTCCTTTCTAGGATTTATGAGTCATTCAGACAGGATATTTTCCGACTTTCCACACCATTTTCCAGATTTTAGTTGGAAAGTTAAAAGTTTTTGCTAATATTTATTGTGAAAAATCTGACCGATTTCCGTAAAACGGTGGAAACCGGTGTGGATCCGCGCCTGCTATTAAAGGAGTTGTGGTACGAATTCCATCAAAATTGTAACAGTTTGAACTGCCTCCAAATTGAGTGAAACACGAACGTAATCGCTTAAACATTAAATAAAAGATGGTATTAAGGGGGCATGACGGTTGTTTTGGGAGAAATCATGTTGATTTGGAAAGAAAATGAGGGCAAAAAGGTATACACATAAACCAGTTGGTAAAACACTCTTTTTTTTTATTATTATTAAAAATATTGTTTTTCCGGCCCAGGCTTAATATTCTTATTTTTCTGCCGATTTTAGGCTGGAAACATTCTTGCATTATTTTTACATTATAGCTTATAATAGACTTTTCCGTTTTAGAATGTATTGGGGTACATGTATCAGTTATTAATAGTTTTCTTATTGCGGATTTTTTCGTTTTGTCGGCTAGTTTTCCCGTTTAGAAAAAGGAGGAAGTCGAAAACAGATAATCAGCCTAATATTTTTAAAGTAATATACTGTACTGTAAATATGCTGTACCCTAACTATAATTGTGAATGACATTTTGTTTTGGAAGCTATACCATTTACAAGGGAGAGTGTTTCTGAAAAAATTCAAAAACCTAGCTCAAAGTTCGAGGCAAATACATTCCAACAAACCGCATTTTCAATCAACTTTTCTATGCTTGATATGTGATAAAACGCAATGTCGTGTTAATCGTTTCCCTAGACATAACTATCTGAAAATCTCAAACTAACTCAAATATGTGTGTAATTCAAACAATAAAACAATGATTTAGGCTCAATTATCCCCTTCGAATACAGTGACACCTTCGGGACCTTTCCAAGAGTCCGCTTAATAGAGATTTGTAAAAATTGCGCAGTGTTTGTTGATGATTAACATTCAACGGTCACTCTGTACTGTAATAAAGTTCCATGTTGTTGTGGAAGCTAAGGATCCTGTGTTTTACTTTGTGAAGACTTTCAGGTGAACTTTTGACAGTTAAATATATTTATCTTTTTTAATCGACTACACTATGTATTTCCAGGATGTAATCCAATACTACTATTGTTAATGCAGTCCGGTATCCGCTTAATAGAGGTTTTTAAAATAGATTTCAGCCAAATCAATTTATTATGGTGTCCGCGTCCGCTTAGTGGAGGTGTATGGTGGCCGAGAACTGCCACTGAGTCTTCGGCACATTTTTTCTTTTTTTTTCTTTATTATAAGTAGATTGGATGTAAAACAAAATGAAAATAACATTTAAATCAAATAAAAATGCAATAAAATGTAAAACAAAATGCAAGTAAAGTCTCAATCAAAATACAAATGCAATTAAATTTAAAATGCAAAGTTAACTCCATTCAGATTAAAATTGACTGCACTTTAAAAGAGAATGCAAAACAGAATATAAGTAGAAGTCAAAGTCAATTAAAATTCAATAAATTTTGAAAATAGAATGGAAAACGAAGTTAGTGGCAGTGCTCGGCCATGCGAAGATTTACTTTCGTTTGAAGTAAAATCAGGCGGTGTGCGTCACGAGATTCGACCAATCAGAATGCGTCATTTGTAGAGTGATTTTCGCGCTCGGAAAGAGCTGTTTTCAGAGGTATACGTGGTGAAATTTTCGCTTTATTCCAAGCTTGTGTTGGCAATTTCGACACTATACCGCCGTGGAAAGTTGTTGGAACACTTTATCTTAATAGCAGTTGCGTTACTTTTAAATATTTTGCTTTCTTGAGCGTTTGTGACAAGTTTGAATTGCTCGGTCATGTGCAGGCGGCCATGATTATTTGAGTTTTGTTTTCCCCGTTCTTCTTGGATTTATTGCAGGTTACTGTTAGCGGTTTTATAGCATTATTTTGGCCATCTTGTTACTTCAACCTTTCTTCTTTGCAAATTTCGGGGTCTACCTGGGTCTACCCCTGTTAGTTTTCCCGTTATGAGCCGTTGAAAGTGTCTTGGAATTAAGACATCGTCTCAGCCAAGTGGCATAACTCCCGGGAAACGCGCTGTGAAAACATGTCGAAGCGGAAGCCGACGTGAAGCGAGTAACGCCAAATCCAGGAAGACTTTGTTCTATTTTAAACCACAAAAGGTAAATAAGTTTGAATATTGTAATAACCTTTGGAAACAAAACATTTTTCATAACCCAGTGCGGAAACTGAAAGCGTGACTTTAAAATAATTTGCATGCGGTGTGTGCTACGTGTATGCAAATCTTTGTGTAAACTTATGTGAGGGAATAAATTGTTATAAATCTCTCTTTGAGGTTAGGTTTTACTTTATAACAAAATCGATATACTGCGCTCACTTCATTAAACGCACAGACACGATCGTGGTTTATTTCTGCGGCTGTAGTATCGGTGAAATTCCGATTGTGCTGTAGCTGTATGTTCGGCTCTTTCGGTCTGTTTTCCCCTTGCCTGATATAAGATTTATTTGCGCATAAGGATTTCAAACGGGCACTGTTTTCAAAATAATATAAACTTGTCGATGAAAATAAAATTGTTATGAGAGACGATTTCTCACCTTGCTGTTTGCACGCGCTCCCCCTGCTTTGCCGGTAACAAAGTCCATCAAATATATAAACACTTCTAATGGACGAATTTTTTTTTAGTTAAGCAAATCCAGGTATGAACTACAGATCTCTTTCACTATGAGATAAAAACATACATATAAACCAAACAGTACATAAAATCTTATGACAAGCAGGAAATTAGTCGCCGCTCA